TGAGCTGCTGCCGGTAAAGTCCTCAGAACGCGTCTGGCTCAGTGTTAGTCCTTAGCGGTGTGAATCAGTGGGGACCAGGTACCTCTGAGCCACCTGATTTCATTCTACACCCATCCTTACAGCAGGGTTTAGTGTCTCAAGGCATCTTCTAAGTAGATCCAACCCCACAAGTGGACTAATAAGAAAGGAGACTTTACCAAGTATCTCAGGGGGAGAAGGAGGATGAGGTTTCCTTGGGAGTGCTCAGTGCCCCAGCTCAAAATCCCTATTGAAAATCTGGCCCCTTTCCTCTTGGTACACCCTCTGCTGGGCCTCCCCAGTCCTGCAGTTTCCATGGCCTCTGGGACAGGGCCCCCCCTCGCTCCTTCCTCTTAGTCTTTTCACAGAATCCACTTCTGGTTTTGCTCATCTTCTGTTTTCTTCTATAAACTGAATGTTTGTGTCCCTCTACCCCCCCCCCCCCCCCCCCAAATAAGTTGAAATCTTGCCTCTCAAGGTCCTGGTGTTGGGGGTGTGTCTTTTGGGAGGTCCTGAGAGCAGAGCTTTCAGAAGGGCTTTCTGCCCTTGAGAAGCGACCTCCAGAGAGATCCATCACCCTTTCTGCCACATGAGGGTACAGCCAGAGCAGGCCACCCATCTATGAACCACAGAGCAGGCCCTCAGCAGGCACTGGACGTGCCAGGACCTTGATCTTGGACTTCTCAGCATCCAGAACTGTGAGCAATGAGTTGCTCTTGTTTTAAGCCATTTTGTGATATATTGTTATAGCAGCTCATAAGGGACTAAGCCATTTTCCATTTTCCTAATTTCTAGGCTTATATATTCAGTCTCTCAGTCCTTTTTTCTTTCTTTCTTTCTGTCATTCTCTTTCTTGAAAGAGGTTGACCAATTTAGAGAAGGCTAGGGATCCGGATCCTTACCTCTTGGGGACTGTTCAGTTGTCTCCATGGTCCATTTTACTGTGACATCTTTTGGACATATATGTTATTTTACCATCACAGTGATAATCTGATGAGAGAATCGATGGTCAGAACTCCAAGGGCTGCTGGGCTGGGGTTCTGGCTCAGTGGTAGAATGCTCGTCTAGCACATGCAAGGCGCTGGGTTCGAGCCTCAGCACACATAAAAATAAATAAATAAAATAAAGGTATTGTGTCCAAGTTCAACTAAAAAAATATTTTAAAAAAAGAAGAATTCCAAGGGCTGGGGGTCTAACTCAGTGCAGGAGCACTCGCCTGGCATGCACAAGCCCAGGTTCAATCAGAATTTAAGTTTCTGGATGGAATGCAAATGACCAGCATCATTAAAATTATGACAAAACAAGATCAAGTAACAGTTTCTTTAGGAGGCTTCGGAACCAGGAACCAAACTGCCCAACTCAAGCCCAGAGAACAAATCTCACAGCTCATGAGAATCAACTTAAGACAGCCGAACAGCTTTCCCTTAAAGTCTCCATTAATGCCTTTTCTACCTGGCCTTTCTCATTGATCCACGTATAGCAAGGCATTTTAGCGATGGCACAGATGCCCCTGTGACTGGCCAAGAAGAAATTTAGAGCAATGTGATTGTCCATCACTGCTCATGCAGAGGAAGTGCAACTGATTTGTATTCCACTAAGTGCAGGGCGGCTTCGTTGCAACTTCTGCTTGAGCTAATGATGTCTCTTGCAGTCTTTGCTATCTGCATCACTCTCACCAGCATGAACAATGAATCAGTAATTCCCCCAGGGAGAGTGCTGGAATAATTATGACTGGCCTGGTTTTGGAGTTCATGTACGGTGGGGATTTCTAAAGTATGTGAGGCATTAGTCTGAGGCAAACAGGATTAGATGTCCTGGGCTGAAGGAAGTTGTATTCAGCAGGGACTCCTGGAGATATAGGAAAGAAGAGTTACTCATGACATGAGGTGAAAACCCAAGCGTTACATTAGCTGGGTTACATATTTGGATTGCAATTAGCCTCATTTAGGAGGCAAGTATTTGGATCATCATCCTATTAGGGTTGTTGAATTTAAATTTAGAAATACACAGGGTCTGATCAATACTCTAATAATTGGTTCCTTTTCAAGGAGAGAGGGACACTAGCAAAGTTACAGGTTGATTCGCTTAAGATCATTTGTCCATGTAATTGCAAGCGGAAACATCATTGGTTGTGATTCCCTAAGGTCTTGTTTAATGAGATTGGAATTGTTCAGAGATTTTTATCATGGGGATATGGTGATGGATGATACATTCAGCAGTCAGTAAGACTGAGGGAAGTGGCTATTGTTGGGGATAACCCAAGAATGTCATTAGAATGAGTATGTTCCAGACTAACAATTATCTGGAATAAAAGGGAAAGAGGCCATTATGGAAAGACAAAAGCTAGAGGTCCCCATATAAAATAAGCAAGCAGATTAAACAACAACGAGAGTTAGGCAGGGATCTTAGCCTAAAGCCTTGGGAAAAAACTGTCCTATTTGAGGTCATTGGCTTGTTCTGAAGGTCTTGGATTGGCTGACAGCTTCAGAAGACTGGCTGTTTCTGGAAGGTATCTGAGAATCCTCAGTTTGAAGCACCTTGTTGGATTTGCTTTTCAGTTGTACAGAATTCAAAATTGCTTTTTTAGTTCTGAAATGTGAGCCCAGAGATTGGCTCCTCAGGATTTCACTGTTGTATTCATTGTTAATTATACAGATAAGGCTCCTTGCAATGAAGTTCAAGAATAGTTCCTCTTGGATATCTCTTCCAATAGATAACATTTCCTTGTTGGAGATTATGAAGAGGCTGTTTAGGAGGATGTGGGACTAACAGCATAGTGATTTTGGTGTTAGGACTGAGTATAGTGCATGAATCTCTTGCAATATTGTGACTTGTCTATGTGCAGTAGGACTGAGTCTGCTATCAGCGGTGGAAACTCTAAATGTCTGGGCCTTCCAAGACTGGATCACCCGGCCGTAAAGGTTATTGGAATGGGAATATGTTCAATCAAGGAGACTCAAATGGTTCACAAGGTTTTGTTAATCTAAATGTAAATATGCCATTGATTCTTTCAACCTCTCCAGAAGATTTTGGGTTGTAAGGATGGTGTACTTTTGGAAGAAGATTATAGATTCTTTATAATAATTTCACAATTGAGAAAAGGGTAATGACTTAACAGTGTTCACATAAAATGTGTGCCTCGGTCACTTTATATAAAAGTTGTTTTTCCTCAGGTTGGAAACATAAAATCAAGTAACTTTTAGAAACTGTAAGGGATGTAGCTTTTTGGCAAGGAAGTGCTATGGGCCACCCTGAAAATAGATACACAGTAAATAAAATACATTTTAAAAATTGGTTTGATAGTGGTTAAAACAAACAAACTCTTTAGTCTTGTTCCAGCCCCTACCTCCCTTTCACAGATTTTCCAGGGATATACTGTTGACAGGTAACACATGACTTCAAAATAACCTTACTGTCTTTTTTAAAGTTTCACAACTAATGCTGATTTGGGATAGTAACCAATTGGTTTACACTACGATGAGTATTTCCATGAAGAAATGTAATTTCATGCAGAACAATCAGATTTCCCTATTCTTTCTTTTCAAAATCAGGGACTAGACACTGTCAAGGTAGAAGGACCCAGTGCAAGAAAGGTGCTCAACTTATGGGAAGGTGAAGAAGCAGAGAGAGACAGGAGAGGGGCAGGGCCAGCAGGTAAGGTGAACCCTCCCTGCGCATAGGCCAGTCACCACCTCCTTCAGTTTTGCCCCACCTGCCTACAGTTACCACTTAGTCCATTCAAACCAGGACACAACTTGCTTATGAATGGAGTGTCCTCTGGAACTCTATGAAATAATCCCTTTGTTGTGTACTTGTGGTTAGTAGTTTTTGCTGATTTCTGTGGTGTAAATGCTCTCACCGTGTCTAATTTCAAGGCACCAACTTTTGAATGGGAGTTGAAAAAGATATGCAAAAGTGCACCATTATTATTGTGTTTCCATCACACAGATACAATGGATGAAAGTAATCTGAGAAGCATAGATAATAAATATAGTAACATAACTAGAAAGTGGTGAATTTTGAGTATTTTGCTTTTAATGTCATTCTGTGTAAGCTCATATAATTTAATTTTAGGAGTATCTATTTAAAGACTAGCTCACAAAAATACTGAACATTTAACAAGCAGCTTTCACAATCAAGTGTGAAACAGTGTAAATGGGCTCTAGTACACTACTGAGTGAGGACAATGCCAGGGATTACTATAGGCTTACCTAAGATGAAGATGAGGAGGAAACTGAAGGCAGGGATCCTTTTTATTTATGTCTTCAGCACTTGTAGGTTATTCAAGAGCCAAAGTAGTTCATTGATTTTTTCCCCCCTCCTATATTCTGGACATTGTTTTAGGTACTAGGGGGAGAAGGAGCACTGCAGCAAAAGTCAAGGCTCTGCCTTAAGAGCGTTTACATTTATTGAGGGGCTATGTAGACACATGTCTGTGTGTCCGGTGATGAGGAAACAAACGTTATGGCTAAAAGTTCTGTAGTGCCAAAGAACAGGAGTGGAGCATTGCCATTTCATATGGGGTGGTGAGGCAGTTGTGAATGTCTTGGAACCTGACAGTGTTCATAAGGTTGATTCTGCGCAGATTTTAATCAACCAACAAGGTTGGAATACAATGGAACGCCTTTTTTTTTTTTTTTTATGATGCCCATGCAATTGCACTTCTGTATGCTCAGCAGTTCATCCAAGTGCAAAGTCCTTTCTAAAGTTCTAGTCTTAGTCTCAGAAACACTAGGGTTTAACTAGACCAATCAGATGCTCGCAGTCCGAATTTTAACACTGACTCCTCCCATCTCCGCCTGAAGCCGGCTAAATGTGAGGACTCCCTTGCGCATGCGCAAATACTCCAAAATCCTGGAGTTCCGGCTACAGGTTTGCGCATGCGCACGAGGGGGCGTTGCTGGTCGCTATCTGTTTTTGTCCCAAGGTCCTGCCGTACCGTCCAGGCGGCGAGTTGCATTCTGTTTCCGTCGGTGGCCGGTGTGTGGGGAACTGTACTTCAGTCTACCCGTCTCCGACGCCAAGGGCGTCATGAACCGCGAGAGTTTCGCGGCGGGCGAGCGGCTGGTGTCACCGGCTTATGTGCGGCAGGGCTGTGAGGCCCGCCACTCTCACGAGCACCTCATACGGCTGCTTCTGGAGAAGGTACCGAGGTGTCGGTCCCCTCCCCAGCCGCGCGCCCGCGAGGCTCCGGCCCCGCCCCGCGCCCCGGTCCGTGCCGGGTCCTGCTAGCAGGCTGCCGGGTGGAGTCCTTCCCGGACGGTCGCAGTTCGGCTCGCCCCGCGCTGCTCGCTGCGCTCAGGTCCTTCCCAGCCTCGCCGCAGCCTGCGAACCCGGAGCCTGGCCTGCGGGGCTGAGGGGTCGGGGCTTGGAGACCTCATCTCCGCTCTCCGAACCGAGTGGTTCCAGCCCAGCTCGTTTCCCTTTGTTTGCGGAAAGGGCAAAGTCCGAGTCTTTCGCGCTCCCGGGGACACTGGTCCACCACGAGCCAGCTCGGGACTCGGGGTCTCACCCCGCCACCCCCCCCCCCACGTGCCTGAACTTTAATTTCACTAGTTCGACAGCCCTAATTATAGCCCCTGGTTGGAGTCGTCTTCGCTGACAACACGGTGTTTTGGTTCCCACTCACTCTGACTTACTGAAACTTATACCCCAGGATACGCGTTTGTCATCACTTCTCGCAATCTGCAGATAGTCGCAATCAAGTGTAATAGGAATGTTGTGCCAATTTGAGGTTTCTTCATAGTGCTGAATTTTATCTCAATTTTAGGAGCAAGGAGCGTGGCAAAATACACATTTAAAAAGTTTAAAATACATTGATGTAGGGTTTACATCGTCTTGAGAACGATGGTTTACTTGAATATAATTACTAGTTGGTTTTTTTTTTTTTGTTTTGTTTTGTTTTAAGGGCAAGTGTCCAGAAGATGGTTGGGATGAAAGTACTCTTGAACTCTTTTTACATGAGCTTGCTGTCATGGATAGCAACAATTTCTTGGGCAATTGTGGTGTGGGAGAAAGGGAAGGGAGAGTGGCATCTGCGTTAGTTGCTCGTCGTCATTACAGGTATGTTTTTTTAAGTAAATGTGAAATCATTTTTTTTTTTCTTTTTGAAGGATGGTAAACATAATGGTGGCAGTATTCGGCTTATAAAATTGTCCATTGGCAAACCACTTTATTGTTCAAACGGGCTTGGAATCCAGATTCAACAAGGAGATGGAAACAGTTTATCTGAGCAGGTGCTTTTCGAAGACAAAAGATTAGAAGTAGTAATATCTGGTGTTTCCCCTGTCAGGTTCTGGGTTGTTAACAGCACAACCTAAATGTTCTGAAAAGAATGTTTGATCTTGTGGTTGTAAGGGTTTTAAATACTTTAAGGTTGTTTATAGATTTCCATTTCTCTTTTAACATTGCAAGTTTTGTTGGAGAATGATTTATAGTTAGAACTTTAAAACATTGTCCATCTGTATCTAAGCTGAGTCCCATTTTATGAATATTTGTTTTTGTTGCAAAGAAATAGGAAAAAATGTATTGGATTATTAATTCACTTTTATTCATTATTTCAGAAAGCTTTTCTTCAGTTCTGATAATCATGAAATTATGAAGTGATAGTGATTTTAAATATGATCATTTCTTTCTGTTTTTCAACCTTTCTGGAAGATAAATATAAACTCTCTTAAAAACTCCTGTCTTCCATGATTTTAAATCATGATGAAATTTTCCTGGGCGTAATAGGATCTTTTTAAGCTAAACTGTTGAAGTCAGAACTAATGATCATGAATGCATGAATTGAATGAAGATTTCATTTTTAACAATTTGTTTATAACATAGTTGGTAAGTAATAAATGCTTTGTTTATGAGGTTTTGATGGTAAGGAAGTGCAACACTGTGTTCTGTGATAATCCCATTACACAGAATTTCTGATCTGCTTAACTATAAATTACAAATTATTTCAGATTACAAATAGATTTTTTATTTTAAAAAGTATTTAGAGACATTTTTTTAAGATGTATAATGTCATATAGTTTAAAGTCAGTGGATTGTCACTGTTATTTTTAAGAAGCATATATGTCTTTTAAAATTAGGACAATTTTTGAAAAGTTCATTGCCATTAGAACTTACTCCACTTCTCTGGTTATATAGTGTAGTTTTCTGTTGTTGCCTAACCATGCCAAAACTTAACGGCTTGAAATAGTTATACATTATTATTTCTCATAGTTCTCTGTGTTAACTGGACTTAGCAGAATGATGATTGTTTGTTTTGCCTCTTTGGTACAGTTGTGGTCAGATGTTGGCAGCCAGTTTAGTCATCTGAAGGTTCAAATGGGCATTTTATTCAAGATAACTTACTCACATTATATGGGAACTCCGATGGCCTCTCTTTGACTTGGGTTCCTCCCAGCATGGCAACTTGATTTGGAGAGAGGACACCCTAAGAGTGAGCTGTTTAAGGATCCTGGTGGTGGGCTGGGGTTGTAGCTCAGTGGCAAAGCACTCACCTAGCATGTTTGAGGCCCTGGGTTCGATCCTCAGCACCACATAAAAATAAATAAAATAAAGTTATTGTGTCCAACTACAACTAAAAAAAATTAAAAATTAAAAAAAAAGAATCCTGGTGAAACTGTAGGTAGGGCCTCTTATGAACTAGCTTAGAGGTTCCAGACAGTCATTTCTGCTAAACGCTTACTGGGTAGGCAAATCACTAAAGCTAACCTGGATTCAGATGGAGGGGAAATTAGACTTCATCACCTGGTGTGGGCAGGGAAAAAAGAAATTAATGGTAGCCATCTTTGGAGACTAGATACCATCACAAAATTGATGAAATTATTTCAATTTAAATAGGATATTTTCACTCTGTTAAATATAGTTGATGACATATATATTCAATAGCTGAATATTGCCTCTGTTCTTTTTTGGTTATTGTGATTGAATACTTGTGTATTGAATCACTTAAAATACTGAGTGTATTTGTCCAGTCTTTGCCCCATTTTTTGCTCAGGCTCATTCATGGGATTGGACGATCGGGGGATATTTCTGCTGTGCAACCAAAAGCTGCAGGCTCTAGCCTTTTGAACAAGATTACTAATTCTTTGGTCCTGGACATCATAAAGTTGGCTGGTATGTACTGTAGTAATCATAAGACATTTGGTGACCAAGGGTGTATACCTTTACCTAATTTATTTTATTAGTGCCTCCTTCTAAAAAGAATATAACTGGCTTTTTTTGGGGGGGGTATGGGGGAATGAACCCAGGGTCCCTTAACCACTGAGCTACATCTCAGCCCTTTTTATATTTTGTTTAGAGACAGGGTCTCCCCAAGTTGCTTAGGGCCTCACTAAATTGCTGAGGCTGACTTTGAACTCATGATCCTCCTGTTTCAGCCTCCTAAGCCGCTGGGATTACAGGCTTGCACCTGTGCCCAGCATAACAGGCTTTTAAAAGGACACACATATAAGAAGTGTTACTGAATAAGATAGAAAATCAGTCATAACCCCAGAGGATGAATTTGACAGTGACCTTTCTGGGAGTAAGTACAGAAAAACAAATACTCAGGCTATGACTCTTATTTATTTGAAAAAAGAAATATATCATTTCTTTAAAAAGGATGTTAGGTTTTCAATGGTAACTAATTTTTGTTTTACTTCTTATTTGTAGGTGTGCACACAGTGGCCAATTGCTTTGTAGTTCCTATGGCAACTGGTATGAGTCTAACTCTGTGTTTCTTAACATTACGACACAGAAGACCAAAGGCAAAGTATATCATATGGCCACGAATAGACCAGAAATCCTGTTTTAAATCCATGATCACCGCAGGTAAAAAAAGAGAATTGGCCTATATAGTGTTTTAAATATCCTAATGAGAAAATACGGAATTTTTATGTACAGATAGATAAATGAAAAATTAACTAAATCTGTTCCGTATTTCTTTTTTTAATGTGATAAAATGTACATGATGTAAAATATAGTGGATATATTGCTTATACAACTTTTAGGTTTATAGATACTAAATGTTTACCATTAAAGTTTATGTAATTATTATTTGTGGGACCTATTGATTGCTAGTTAAATATACTCTTTCCATTGAAAATTTAAACAAAAATTTTATGTTTTGATCACAGAAGGCTCTTGTGAGTTGAGATGGGCCAGTGATCCTCAAGCTAGTGAAATCAATTACAGTTTTCTTTAAAGGTGAAACTTTGATGTTTGTGATTTGTTTCAGTCCTTGAATTTATATTATTATTTATGTCCATCTCTGAAATAAAGTGAGCTGTAAATTAAAACTGAAATATTGCCAGAAAATGAGCGGACTTGGACTAGTGATCCTTTTTGTTATCAATATCTGTTATTACTTCTGTAGATTCTATTTAATTTTAATTTTTATTATTTTCCAAAGTTATTCTTTTTTTTTTTTTGTCACATCAAAGTGTTAAAAAGGTTTGTGATCCTAATTATCTAGTCTTTCACATCAGTTTGACCTGGCTTTGACTAATGTGAGCATTGTGCCAGGTTTTATTACTAGAGGAAGGCTCATCAATCAAAATATTTAGAGTTCTTACATGGAACAGCACTGCCGTGTCGAGTTCCAAGATCTGACTTTATTTTCGTTCACCCTAACATTTAGATTTCTGGTTGGCTTGGTTAGGTTTTGAGCCGGTGGTGATAGAAAACGTGTTGGAGGGTGATGAGCTGCGCACAGACCTGAAAGCCGTGGAGGCTAAAGTCCAGGAACTTGGGCCTGATAGTGTTCTGTGTGTTCATTCTACTACATCCTGTTTTGCTCCAAGGGTGCCTGATAGGTAAACGATTTGTGGATATTGACCTTTATGTGTTTGTCAGTCTCTTAAATAAAGTGTTATATACTAATTCTAAAATATGCTTAAATAACATTTGGTGGTAAATAGTGGATGGTCCTAGGAGATTAGATTAACCTTATGGAAAAATAACATAATGGCTTGGGAAAATAAATATTTACTGTAGAAGAAGGAAAAACAATTAGTACAGGGGAGAAGATCCCTTTGTCACCTGAATAGAAGCAGGCCATATATTTTCTTGCCTTTTTTGTTTTTTGTGGTACTAGGGATTCTACCCAGGGCCTTGTACACACTAGGCAAGCCCTCTATCACTGAGCTGTCTCTAGTCTTTTTTATTTTTATTTTGAGACAGTCTTGCTAAGTTGCCTAGGCTGTCCTTGAATTTGTCATCCTCCTGCCTCAGCTTCCCGAGTTCCTGGGTTTACAGGTTTGCACCATATTCCCAGCTTGCTTTCTTTCTGTGTATCCTATTTCCAGTCTCTTAGCATCTTTTTCCTTATTTAAAAAAATTTTTAAATTTGTTTTAGTTAGTTATACATGACAGTAGAATGCATTTATGCACTTTCATTTCCTCATTGTTTTAAATAAAAATTTCTTTTCCAAGCTAAATGTTGAGTTTAGTTGTTTTCATTGCTCTCTTTACTTCTTTGACCTTATTGTTAGTTTTCAGATATAGGAACTATTAGTATTAACAGATTTTAAATGGAATATTTTAGGATTATTTATTTTCCTTTGAGATTTTTTTAATTGGAAGATTAAATTCTGATGTTTATTAAATGTTTATAGTGGTTGTCTTTATTTTGACAATGGTATAAATATTTAAGAAAATAAAAGTAAACAGGAAATAAAAATAAATATTTACTTTTCTAAAGAATAGCCACAAGTTTTTATTCTGAAAATGTAATAGCACTTTAGTTTGTTAGTACAGATTTCTGTTTTTGAAAGTAGTTGTTTTTGTTTCATTTTAATATTTTGAATAGAAGTACTAATAATTTGTAAGAACTATATTGACTTTGGACTTATTAATAAGTTACACTCTGGCTTTCATAGAATCTCATTATTTGGCAGTAATGAATGCATGTTAACTTGTATTATAGACAGATTTGGAGAGAGACTTTTTAAACCATGCTCTTGAAAATTTACCTTGCTACATTCATGAACCTGTGAATTCTGTTTTTGATTATATTGTGTACACTTTAGTGGTTTTTATTCTTTACTTAAAAGCATTTAAAATTTGTATTGAAATATTTTTTCAGAGGTTTTATATTTATTTATTCTTCATTTAACTTTTAAAATACTACTATAATTGAATATTGTTTTTAAAACAAAAACAATAGCAAGTAGTGAGCATATTATGATCATAGTCCTTCACTCATTCACTACTGCATATAAAATGCCTGCAGTGAATGTTATTTACTGGCCCCCTTAAGAGGTTTGACACTGAACACCACCTCTGGGCTGATGTTCTTCATCCTTATATGCTTCTCGATTATAATAGCATCATTTTTCCTGATTTGGATCGAAGTCCATCAGTTCTACCAGATCCATTTCATCGGTCTCTTCTAATTCCTTCCTCTGATATAGGAGTTTTTCCAACAAAGAAAGTTTGTCAGGAGAGAGAAAACCATTTTCAGGAAAGTTTACCTTAAACTCGATGGTTAGGTGACCCTTCCATTTGGTCTATGATAAATTGGCATACCTTCATTTAGCACCCACTTTTATATCTCCATGCTTGACAATATGACTGGATGAGAGGTGATGATTGTGGTTCGATTATCAAAGAGTGATACTGGCTTCTGGAAGCCACATAATGCTTCTACCAGCTGTATGTCCATATACATGAAGAGGCATTCTCCTTGTCAAATAAAAACAGCATGGGCCTTCTGATCTAACACAACAATAATATCTCCTGGTTCCAGTTCTGGCTCTTGGTCTCCTTCACCATGGAATGTTATCTTCAGTCCATCTTTCATGCCTTTGTCAATATTAACTTCTAGAATCATCTTCTCTCAAACTATCTTCCTTCTATTGCAGCTTTTACATCTATCTTTAGGACTGATCCATTCCCGCTGGCCTGGGCTCTCCATGCACACAGACTGAATTTGGTGAACCATTCCAGGTCCTATCTGATGAATTCTTATCTGCATTCCAGTACCTTGGCATTTGGGATAGCACTCTACTGCCCCTTTCTTACCACCACGGCCTTCACATTTGTCACAAATCACATTCTTTTACAGAGCCGGTTCTCTTGTGCACCATTATATAAATCTTCTAATGTTACTGAGAGCTGATGCACAACATTTTTGCCTTTTCTCTTTCCTTTGGATTCTTATCAGGGTGGTACTTCAAGGCCAGTTTCTTGTAAGCCTTTTTCAATTCTTCCTGGGTGGCATTGGGTTTGACCCCCCCTAAACATCATAGTAAGTGGTTTCTTTCACCATTTTCTACAGCTGGTGAGCAGGCTGGGGCCACTGTAGGGGAGTGGGTGGGAGGGTGTAACTGTGTAGCTTGGGCAGCTGCAGCTCCTCCACCTCTCACCAAGTGTTCTGGAAAGTTCCCCTGTATTGAAATATTAAATAAACATTTCTACTCTTGTTTGTTGGTTTTGCTATCTAGGAAAAAATTTAATGTGATAAAGAACTCACGTTTCCAAAAATAGCATATGGGGCTGTAGCTCAGTGGTAGAGCGCTTGCCTTGCATATGTGAGGCACTGGGTTTGATTCCCAGCACCACATAAAAATAAATAAAACAAAGGTATTGTGTCCATCTGCAACTAAAATAAATAAATAAATAAAAATAGCATGTGGATATTTACATTTGTTGGATTATCTATCCTTGGGGAGAGTTTTATTTTTATTTTGACTAATGTTTACAGTATGCATGGCGCAGTGTTGAATATTTTACATCTATTATCTCTGTTAGAAAAAAAATGTTAAATTTTTTTAATCAGCAAAATTCTCATTTGTCACTTTTTAGTAGTGTTATGTAATGAATGTTTCTTTTCTTATTTTTTGTAGTTGGACACAACACCTTTATTTTATTTATTATTTTTATGTGGTGCTGAGGATCAAACCCAGTGCCTTACATGTGTTAGACGAGCACTATACCGCTGAGCCACAACCCCAGCCCCATGAATGTTTCTGTTAAGAGGGAAGTTCAGGAAAAAATGGGATGTATAGTTAGTGATATGTTTGAATTTCTGATTTTATTAAATTTTACAATTACATTTTGATTCCTTTATGTCAAGTGTACTTCCTTTAATACCTCATTTTAATGGTATGGCATATATTTTATTTTGATTAGATAACTGGAATATTATAGGGGAAATATTCTTAAAAGAGATGTTAAAAGAAGGGTATCATTTCTTTTAATTAACACCTTAAATTAGTTTACATTAGTTGGATTATCTGATCCCTATGGAAATTATTTTTCTGCTTCTTGCTTTTTATTTAATGTATTTTCATAATCCTATTAATGCATTTGATCAGATTATTTAAAACTATACTCACAAGTGATTGTATTCTTTTTAAAATATAATTTTGATTTTATTATGGTACATTATTTTCAAGGAAGTTTTTTTTTTTTTTTTTTTTTTTGTGGTGCTGGGGATTGAATCCATGGCCTTGTTCATGTGAGGCAAGCACTCTACCAACTATATCCCCAGCCCCAAGGAAGTTCTTTATTAGGGAATGTTTTTTTATTAGATCACATATATATGAAAGTGCCTTTTCTCTTGTGAATATATGAATCACAGAAGGTCTAATTTGTTAAAAACATCTGATTACTTTTAAGTAACAAAATAATTTCTATATTGATTTGTGAAGTTTATGAAAATAGATGCTAAAATGAGTTTTCAGTTCATAAAATTCAGGGATACAATTGAAAATGAAAATTTTTATTGAGCATAATAATCTTATTTCTATTTATAGTTTGAAAACATGAATACACATCTACTTAAAAAAGAAAATGTATCATGTATAATATCATGTATAAAATGTATTATATATAATATATATTTGAAATATATCCTTTTAGGAGAAAATTTTTATTATATAAAGATACTTTGCTTTCAAATTCTTTTATGTGAAAGGAAGCTTTAAAAGAAATAATTTTCTTAAACCATAGGAATTAGTTTTAGTTTCATAGTGAAGACATTTCTATTACAGATGACTTCAGTCATAAATAGCATTTGGTTTTGTGAAGGACCCTTTTTATTATGTACTGAGATTTATTAGCTTCATTTAAAGTTAGATTGAAATTGTCTTAATGTGAGAGGTGTAAAATGAAAAAGTGTGAGTGAATAATTACAGATTTAAGCAATTATTTAAAAGATTCTGCTGGTATACAAGTTATTAGAAAATGGCACTTATTTTGGTACTGAAACATTTCAACATCCTGTACTTTTAATACATTAAACTTATTTGAAAATGTATTTTTTATGATGGTTTAAAGTGAGTTTTCTAAAGATTTCCAGATGTGTTAATTATTTTGCAGATACTAGCATTGGTATGGTAAGCAACTGGTTGAATTTAAAAAAGAATATATCGTTTTGTGAGTTGTCAATATAAATAATCTTCTTGCTTTGTTTACAGGAATTTTTTTTTAATGATTTAAAAGTTACTATCTACGTAAATTTTTATAAGTTTTTCTTATTTATTGGTAACATTAATTTAAAAGTTTTTTTTAGGCTTTTCTAAAGTGCTTGCTTTGTATTTCCAAACTGCTGAATTATATATGCTGAGAGAGTACAGAAGAAATTTCAGTGTCCCCCTGCCCCCTGTATACATTAATGTTGATTGTTAAGTTAAAAAAAGTTTCCACATTGTAATTTATAAAGCACAGTGTATGACTTCCTGTTGTGTATTTGTGCTTAGATTAGAAGAGCTGGCTGTGATTTGTGCTAATTATGACATTCCACATATAGTCAACAATGCCTATGGAGTGCAGTCTTCAAAGTGCATGCATCTTATTCAGCAGGTAAGAGTTTAAAAAGATATGTTAAAAAAAGTAGATTTTGGGCCGGGTTTGTGGCTCAGTAATAGAGTGCTTGCCTAGCATGTGTGAGGCACTGGGTTCAATTCTCAGCACCTCATATGAATAAATAAAATAAAGGACTATTGACAAATGAAAAATAAAAATATATAAAAGTAGATTTTAACATTCACCAGGATAGTTATTTTTATCTTACAACCTTAAATAGTAAAAACAGTTATGTAGCACTCTCTAATATTGCTTAAATATTGGGTGCATTAGAAACTTGCATTCAGTATCCTCTCAGTAGAAGTCCTTATTCCTTGATAGTATGGTGGTATTTGGACAATACTTTTGTTAGTCCCAAATCAGTGTGAAAGTATTTCAGTAGTTTTTAACTTTCTGAGAATATTTCATGACCAGGATTCTCATTTTTCTAATATAGTATTTTAGAAATTTATAGTATTTTGTTCACATTTCCTATTGGTTCATTATAGTTGCCTTATAGTATTTAAAAAACTGTACTATTTTAAAAACAATTGATGATTATGTTTTATATTTAAGGAATCATTTTACCTTATTATTCTAGATTTTATTTCATTTAGAAACATTTTAGCATAAACTATCGAGTTATGGGTATTTTTTGTTTTTGGTTTTATTTATGGTACTAGGGATTGACTCCAGGGGGTTCTACCACTGAGCTGTGTTGCCTTTTCTTTATTTTTTATCTCTACATAAGTTGCTACGGCTGGCCTGGAACTTGTGATCCTCTAGCCTCAGCTCCTGTGTTGCTGGGCGTTTTAGTCAGCTGTTTCACTGCTGTGACTAAAGGGACCCAACCAGAATAACTGTAAAGAAGGAAAAGTTTATTTAGAAGCTCATGGATTCAGAAATCTTAGTCCATAGAAGGTCCACTCCAATCCCTGGGGCTCAAGATAAGGTTGAACATCATAGAGGAAGAGTGTGGCAGAAGGAAGCAGCTCACATCAGAATCAGGAAGCAGAGAGAAAGGGATACAGAATAAATATCCAGGTACAAAATATATATCCCAAAGCCACGCCCCAATCCCCACCTCCTCCAGCCACACCCTGCCTTTTCAGTTACCACTCCGTTAATCCCTAGCAGGAGATTAATTCACTAATTGGGTCAAGGTTCTCACAACCCAATCATTTCGCCTCTGAACCTTCTTGCATTTTCTATCACGTGAGCTTTTGAGGTACACTTCACATCCAAACCATAACACTGGGATTACTAGTGTGGACCACCATGGCCAGCATTGTTTTGTTTTTAATATAAGCATCAGCTAGATCCTGATGATCTGTCTTGGGTTCTAAGTTTAAAATATGCCTGTTTCCCATTCCATTCAGAATAGTCCGAGGTCTGGCCTGCAGGACTTTGCATGTTCAGGCCTCTGTTGCCCTTCTGACCACTTGCCTCTCACCTGCTCTGCTCTAGCAGAGCCTTTCAGTGGTTGCCTTTCAGTGCCTCCATCATGCTGCAGGTGTGCCTGCTTCCAGGCTTGTGCTCCTGCTCATCCCTCTTCCTGGATTCCTTTTGTTGACTTTTATTGCTTCTCCTCTCACTTTTCTTTAGGCTAATAAGACTTTTTTAGATATCTTATCTAAAATAACACTCCTCTATTCCTTGCTAGTATTTCCCATGGCCCTTTCCCTCTTTTATCCATTCATTGTTTTTTTTTGTTGTTGTTTGTTTTGTTTTTATTTTTGTTTATTACTGGGGATTGATCCACTGAGCCACATTCCTAGCCTTTTTTATTTTTTATTTTGAGACAGGGTCTCACTAAGTTGCCCAAGCTGGATTTGTACTTGTGATCTTCCTACCTCAGCCTCTTGAGTTGTTGGGATTATAGGTGTGCGCCACCATGCCTGCTTTGTATTCATTGATTTTAAGAGGCAAAGTTCCACATTGTGATGTCTCTGAAATTGGAATGTCTTATGATCAGTGATGTCTTATGACGTAAATTATCAATATTTTGTCTTACATAGTGATAAGTAAGATAATAATCTTAAAATTGATGGCCTCTTGCTATTTTTCTCCATAGCTTTTTTAATCACTTCTTCTATGTTTACTTTTATTAATTGATAGTAGTTAGAATTAAGGTTTTGTTAAGGTTAGAATTTTGTTTACTGTTAGTTTCTGTGTATTTAGGACAATAATTAGTATCTAATACAAAATTGACAGTAACTGACTACTGAACATAGTGAAAGCATAAGTGAAGTCGTATTATGTTTATTTACCTGTGTGGATAATGATTTTAATACACACATTCAGTTTTTTTGGTACCAGGGATTGAACCCAGGGGCACTTAACCACTAGGCCACATCCCCAGCCCTTTTTTGTATTTTATTTAGAGACAGGGTCTTGCTGAGTTGCTAAGTGCCTTACTAAGTTGCTGAGGCTGGCTTTGAACTCACGAACCTCTTGCCTTAGCTTGCCAAGCTGCTGGGGTTACAGGTGTGCGCCACTGCACCTGACCACATACTCAGTTTTGACACATATGATTTGTGTTATGTATACTTAAGTTATTCAAAAATTATGACCTTTTCCAACATAATGAATGTACTGAGGCCTAGTAAATACTATTTAGTATTTTTTTTTTTTTTTTGGTTTTTAAATTTTGTATGTACTAGTTTCATCTTTTTTTAATGTTTTCTTATTTACTTATTTATTGGTTCTAATGAGTTATACATGACAATAGAAAGCTCTTCAATTTATTGTACACAAATAGAGCAGAATTTTTCACTTCTCTGATTGTACATGAAGTAGAGTCACATCATTCATGCAATCATACATGTACCAAGAGTAATGATGCACATCTCATTCCACCATCTTTCCTATCCCTTTTCCCTTCACCAATCCCCTTTGCCCCATCCTCCACTTATCGCATGCACCTCCTACCCCCCATATGAATTATCAGAGAAAACATTCAGCCCCTGTTTTTTTGAGATTGGCTCATTTTGCTTAGCATGATATTCTCCAACTCTATCCATTTACCTACAAATTTTGTAATTTTATTCTCTTTTAATGCTGAGTAATGTTTCATTGTGTATATGTACCACAGTTTCTTCATCCATTCATCTATTGAAGGGCATCTAGGTTACTTCCACAGTTTAGCAATTATGAATTGTATTGCTATAAACATTGAAGTGGCTGCATTACTGTAGTATGCTGTTTTTAAGTCTTTAGGAGTGGGATAGCTGGATCAAATCATGGTTCCATTCCAAGTTTTCTATGGAATCTCCATACTGCTTTGCATATTGGTTGCACCAATTTGTAGTCTTACCAGCAATGTATAAGTGTGCCTTTCCCCCCACATCCTTGCCAACACTTATTGTTGCTTGTATTCTTGATAACTGCGATTTTAACTGGAGTGAGATGAAATCTTAGTTTTTATTTGTATTTCTGTAATTGCTAGAGATATTAAACATTTTTTCATGTTTGTTGATCGATTGTATATTTTCTTCTGAGAAGTGTCTGTTCAGCTCCTTGGCCCATTTATTGATTGGGTGGTTTGCTTTTTTGGTGTTAAGTTTTTTGAGTTCTTTATGTATCCTGGAGATTAGTGCTCTGTTTGACACGTGTGTGGCAAAAATTTGCTCCCACAGTGTAGGCTCTCTCTTCACTTCGTTGATTGTTTCTTTTGCTGAGAAGAAGCTTTTTAGTTTGAATCCATCCCACTTATTGATTCTTGATTTTGTTTCTTGCACTTTAGGAGTCTTGTTAAAGAAGTCAGGGCATAATCTGACATAATGAAGATTTGGGCCTACTTTTTCTTCTGTTAGGCATAGGGTCTCTGGTCTAATTCCTAGGTCTTTGATCTATTTTTGAGTTGCTAGTTTCATCTTTGATGAAACATGTTATTATGATAGTAGTAGCTGATTTGCTTAATTTCTTTATTCAGAGTTTATATCCGTTGGGATGTCATTGGCATCTGTAGCAGAAGCTCCAGTTGGCTTAAGCAATAAGGAAATGGATTAGTGTAGGTAACTTAAACCCAAAGGTGAAGTGGGTTTTAGCCATGATATGTCAGGATTTCTTAAAACCATTACTAGGATCACCATTTTTCTTTTTCTTTCTTTTCTTTTTTTTTAGTTGTTGATGGACTTTTATTTTATGTAGTGCTGAGAATGGAACCCAGTGCCTCCCATATGCTAGGCAAGCACTTCCACAGAGCTGCAATCCCAGCCCAGATCACCATTTTTCTTTTTATCATTTGCTTGGTGTCATTTTTGTTATTCCTTAACTTTTTAAGGCTTTCTCACAGTTCTAGACTAGATTATATCTAATTTGTATGGAAGCAAGGGGAGGGTGTACAGTTTTCTAAACTGGAAATCTTGGCAGACATTTTGTTTCAATTACTCATTTGTATTGCTCCCCTCTCTTTCCTCCTTCCTCTTCTTCTCTTTAATGTTTAGTAGTCTCAGTTCTTTTGAAATTCAAATATATGACATTAAAATTTAGAAAAGTACAGAAAAAGTAGAAGATCATTTATAACCATCTTACCTTTATAAATGCCACTAATAATTTTTATGTATATGTTTTCTCTTTATATGTATTACTTTTTACATATAGTCATTATATACATTTAACATTGAATTTTTAAAATTTTATTTATTTAGATGTTGGTGGACCTTTATTTTATTCAGTTATTTATATGTGGTGCTAAGAATCGAACCTAGTGCCTCACACATACTAGGCAGTTACTCTACCACTGAGCCACAAGTCCAGCCCCAACAGTAATATTTTAAATTTTGCGTTGTGTTTCTCTTCACATGCTTATAAAGTTTTTGTAATTAATGATCACTTTAACATTCCTTAACAGTTACTTGAATGTTATTTACTTAGTCAAGAAGTGCCCAGTGTTTTAGTATTCACAGTCTGTTTCTGAATATTAGAAAATTTGGTGGCATACCTGAGATTAAGACCTTAAAAGAAACTGAGCTCCATAAAGCTGTACATCATAATGCCCTGCTTTGTCATCATTTCTGTGCATTTATGAGGTATTTTACTAACATTTTAACCAGAAGAATAAAACTGTGAGATGAGTGGATGGATTTTTAAAATGCAGATATTGCTTTGTTTTAGATACTGTGTTACCTTTAAAATTGATGTATCTTTAAAAGAAAAAAATAAAAAGCAGTAAATAAACATTCTATTTTCCTCAAATTTGCTTTCATGAAAAAAGGCTGTGGCACTGTTACTTTAACCCAAATAAATACATGGGTCTTATTGAGTGCTGGTTGATTTTTTATGACATTCTAAGTAATTAACGTCAACTTTAATTCATCCAGTAGCTCTTACTGACAGTATATACCACTTACTGCTTGCTCACCATGTGTGTTTAGGCATCCTGCCAGGCTTTTAAAGTTTCTTAACTAATCCTAACAGTTGAAGGTGTACTTTTTTTTTTTTGTTCCTGTTCTCTACATGAAGAAACAAATTCAGTGGGCTTAAGTGACTTGCTCAAGATCCCATAGCTGCAAAATAGCCCATCTAGCTCAGTATGACTCTAGAGCCCCATGTTTTTCTTTAAAAAACAAAGTACTAAAGCTGCAAGTCTTTTCTTGAGAAAATAATATGGCAGTAATAAGGCAATCAATGAAGTGCGAGCTATAACTATTTTAAGAATTTCTTAGGGCTGGGGATGTGGCTCAAGCGGTAGCGCGCCCATCTGGCATGCGTGCGGTCCGGGTTTGATCCTCAGCACCACATACAAACAAAGATGTTGTGTCTGCCGAAAACTAAAAAATAAAATATTAAAATTCTCTCTCTCTCTTTCTCTCCCCCCTCACTCTCTCTTAAAAAAAAAAAAAAAAAAGAATTTCTTAAAGTATTTTTAGGGAATTCCCCAGAATGACTTAATTCTGAGCAGATCAAGAAATACATTTCTGTTTATATTTGCTAAAGTGACTGATTTGAGTCTCATGGAATATGGATGATGGCATACAGTACTGCATCAAATACACATACAGGATTAATTATTTTAGTCAAATGGATCGTAAACCTCCCAAAGTGTGGGAAGCAGCAACTTACTACAAGTTTGAAGTATGTCACTGCCACTCACTCACAGACCTGGTTGTTTGTTTTTCAGCAGATGTTTGCTAGGTTCCCACTGATGGGCCAGGCCCTAGGGCGTGTGCTGGTGCTGCAGTTGTGAATACATGGAAATCCTTCCTTCTTGAAGCATTCTGATTTTGGAAGCAGGCAGTAGGCAGATATTGAGAAATACTCTGGTATTTGGAAGAGAGTCGAATTATATGGAATGATCCAGAGACCTCTTCAAAAAGTAACCTTCAACTGGAGCCCTGAATGATATGAAAAAGCGAAGAGAGAGTGAGAGAGAGAAAGAAGGGAGAGAGAGAGATTCCAGACAGAAAATTACAGCAAGTGTGAGACTAGCAAGGAGGCCAGAATGGCTAGATCATCATCATGAGGGGAATAGTGGTGGTAGAGATTTGAGATGTACTAAGGATTTGGGATTTTACTTGGGGTATGGCTGTTTGGAAGGTTTGGAGCAGGAGAGTGATGTAGAATGTGGTGAGCAGAATGTAGGATGGCGAGCATAGAAGGCTGTCGTAGCAGCCCACGTGAAATATGTTGGTGGCTGGGGCCAGAGTATTCTCTGTGCAGGTGATAGGAAATTATTGGATTCAGACATATTTCTAGAATAGATTTTATAAAATATGCTGGTGAATTATATGTAGGATGTGAGAAAATGAGAATTCAGGGCTTCTAGGCTTTTGGTCTGAGTGGCTGGAAGAGAGGAAATGCTATAGGATAATATTCTTTCTTTTAAACAGGGCCTCTTCGTCTAGATTCTGATCCTGCTGGGCATTGATTGCTTGGGTAACCTTCAGTAAGGAGCTTTAGCTGCCAGGATTTGAATCATAGCGGATCTTGGGCATGTCACTTTAAGTTCATTATGCTTAATTTTGTCATCTGTAAAATAGGCATTATAGTAGCATCTACCTCATAAGTTATTGTGCAGGTTAAGTGTGTATTGAATGTAAAGTGCTTAGAGCAGTGTCTGACACGCACTAAGCACTCTGTAAATCTGGCAGTTGTTATTTTGTGAACAATTATTTGTTTTATAGGAATAGGTTCTGGGGATAGCAGGAATAAAATTAAATAAAATATTAATGATTAATATGTTAACTGGAATAGTGTCTGCCGTGTGATAGGTGTTCACACATTTGCTTTATGAATAAATGAGTGAACTAATAAATGGCAGCTCTTTACCTCATAGGCTGTATTCTAGTGTTCCTTACTCTGCTTCAACAGTTCATCCTCCCAGTGTTTTTTCCATCCATCATTAATGGGGGAATAGGGTCCTTAGGCCATTCTTGAGATTGGGTCTGGCCTGCCTGTTTTCTTGCCTCTGAGAGTGCTGTCATTTGAATCCTGCACTTTAGTGATAAAGGGTTCTAGCTAAGTCTGGTGCACTGATTCCTCTCATACTCCTGCTCCCGGCTGAGGTTCATGTTTCAGGAAGCCTTGGGCAGCAATTAAATGGTAATAAAAAGGCATCTCTGTGCCATTTTATTCTTACATGCTGCAACTTGGAGTATTTTTCCATTATTCTATTGGTCTTACATGCTTCCCTCTGTTTTCCTAGGATACAGTGGCGTTCTCTTTAATTACAGTTTGTTGGGGAATTAGAGGTGTAACGGGAAGTTAAGATTTAAACAGTCCCGTGATAGTTCTATGTCTAGTTTGCTCCCTTTTCCTGCTTTTGCTGCCTCTCCCTTTTGCCTGGATCTGGTCTCTCTGATTAGGCCAGCTATCTGCACCTTCCATTCTCCCTGAGATATGGAGATGGAGAGGAGGTGTGAAAATGAAGGTCAAATGTGGTTATAATATTAATAGGAATGTAGATTGCAAATACAGATTGAAAATCTGTGCCTACAGATAAAGAAGAAAAAAACGATCTTAGTTGAAATTTAGATAGTATCTTTACTTTTAAGAGGAGAGACTTGAAGCATATTAGACAGAAGGTCACAGACTATGTTGGATGGGAACCAGAACTTAGTTTTATATTTCTAGTAGGTAAATAAATATTCAGTTTTTCTAGATTTTCATTTGAAGTTCATTTTGCAGTGGAATGATATTATCTAAGATTATAATATTAGGCAACATGCATTACGTAGAAACATTGCTTGTTAAATTTCCAAGAGTATACATATAAAAGATAGTTAAAATTTGGCTTCTCTCTTGTTTCTGAGTGGCAGTGGGAGCAGAATTTGTTGCTTAAAATGGTTACAAAGGTATAAGATTGTCCTTGCTTCAAAAAGAGACACTCAGCTGTCTAACTGTTTGACAGCTTGGGTAGCTGTAATCCATTAGGTTACAGTGGCAGCTCTTGAACTCACAACAGGTGTTTAAAACTGCTTCATTGTTGCAAGACTCACTGTAGACATTTATTGTCAAATAAAGGATTGCAGATAAGAAGCATGGGAAGAATCCAGTTTTAAGGTGTAGAGCTCTATTTCAGTAAAATTCCCACCTGAACTAATAATGAAAACCTGCCAACTTCACAAGGTTTTTGTGAGAATTGAATGATTAATATGTAAAGTCTAAAATACTGCTTTAAAAAGAACACCATTTAAAAATTTGGTTTAAGACTTAAAAACATTTTACTGGCACTGTTACAAAAATAATAAAAGTCTCTGACCTGTTTTTTATTTCTATGCATTGTTTTAATTTTGTATTTTTTAATTAAGGTATAATTGTATTTATTTATGGTGTATAATATTTTAAAATATGTATGTGTTATGAAGTGGTTAAATCATATTAATTAACATAGCTGTCACCTCACCTACTTAACATTTTTTGTTGTGGTGATTATTCGTTGATAGTTGTTGTTTGTCCTAGCAACTAATATGTAATATTAAATGTTATTTATTCTAGGGTGCTCGGGTTGGTAGAATAGATGCTTTCGTTCAGAGCTTGGACAAAAATTTTATGGTCCCAGTAGGTGGCGCTATAATTGCTGGCTTTAATGATACCTTCATACAGGAAATCAGCAAGATGTATCCAGGTAAATAAGTTATTCTTCAGAAAAGGTAACTAACAAGCAGAAACCCATTTGTATATATACTGCTGTAATAAATATTAATCTCTAAAGCTTCCTCTATACCCTCTTTAATGTTTTGTCCATTCTTATTTTAGGAAGAGCTTCAGCTTCACCTTCTTTAGATGTCCTTATTACTTTGTTATCACTTGGATCAAATGGCTATAAGAGGCTGTTAAAAGAAAGAAAGGTGAGCTTTCCCTTTAGGTGAACTGGAGGGAAAAGGATGACTAGAATAAAATAGGGCACCAAAATTGAACAACTTCTGTTGTACATCCATCATAAAAATGTTGGAGAATCTGTGATTGATGTGTGTGTGTGTGTGTGTGTGTGTGTGTGAACTATTCACTAGAACAGTGTTCCAAACCATTGGTGTTTTTGCCTATTGGTTCATTCCATTGGGAGTTTAGATATATGATATGGGAATATACTCTTATCTAGATCCACTGTAGGTGGTTTTCAATTAGCCATGTCATCTGGTCTATCCTGATAGTCTGAGGAATATTAGACAAGTGGTTTTACTTTTATTATTTATTTATTTTAGAAAAACTTTACAAGGGGGATCTTATTTAGTAAAATGAATTTTATTTATCACTTAAAGATAGAGGTTATTAAAGGAAAAATAGGAAAGTCTTCTTTTTAGAAGACAGTTTAGGTTATAGATGTTAATCTCAGGAGGAAGAACCAGGTCAGAAGTTGGCCAGCTTCTCATACTAAAATAATAAATTTCTCTCTTGCCATTTTTGGAATGCTGAACTCATTGGACTATGTCAGCTGTGAGAAGAAAAGTGACACTTATGTTTAAAAACTGGGCTTTGTCTTCAGTACCAAAAACTAGCTTTATTTAGGACAACTCCAGAACCAGACAGTGTTGGCAGAGCAGGTCAGATTAAGGTGTTCTGTTCACCTTCCATTTGGGAGAGCTTAAAGGTCCTGGTACAGGTTTTGAGTATATTTAACTTTCTAGCACTTATTAGCTATTGTAGTCCCTTAGATTTATATTAATACTTTACATAATTTAAAACATTTATATACATGTCTGTAATCTCCAACGTCTTCTAACAGTATTATGATGAATTAATAACAGAAGTTTAAAAATTTTATGCCCTGTTTTACTTTAGTCATCTTTTTCCCACTCATTCAGTCCATGGGCAAGTTGTTTACTTTTTATTGTGAGGACATTTCTTAAGGTATATCTTGAAAGAGGAAAAGATACTCAGGAGTCATTAGGAAAATGCAGATTGAACAGTAAGATACTACTACACAGCTAATGTAAAATAAACCTGACAGTACAAATGCTGACAAAGATCATGAGCAAATACATCTCTTAGACATTGCTGGTAAGAATGAAAAGTAATACAGCAACTCAGAAGAAACTCTGGCATTTCTTACAAAGTGAAACATAAACTTAGCATATAATCCAGCCGTCTTCTACATATTTCTCTCAAGAGAAATGGAACCTGTTTTCAGATTTGGCTATTTCTGACCAGAATCACTATAAACACATTCATGTATAGACTTTTGTATAGCTATTCTGTTTGTAATTGCCCAAACCTGAAACAACTGAAATATCATCTGATCAGTAGATAAACAAACTGGTATATCCATACTGAGCAATAAAAAGGAATGAACTACTGATAATGCAACAAAATTATGACTCTGAAAACCATTATGATAAAAGAAAGAAGCCATACTCAAAATACTGCATTTTGTATGGTTTCTTTATATTCTGTCCTGGAAAAGGTAAGAAAATATAGGGACAGAAAAAAGATCTGTGGTTACCAAAGGTTAGGGATTAAGGAGGGGATTTTTTGGCGTGATGAAATGTCTTGTATCTTGAGAGTGAGTTTCATGGCTCTGTGTATTTGTTAAAATTCATAGAAATGGACACCTGAAATTTTACTTTATTTAAATTATACTTCAATAAATTTGACCAAATTTTTATACAGTAAGAATAAAACTGTGGTTTTAATAACTACAAAAAGGAACATCATAGTCATAGATTGTTGTAGCCAAGAGAAAAGCTCAGATCTTTCAAGGAAATTTCTCCATACATCAGATGACAACTCTTGTTTATGTATGTGTTACACTTATTGGTTTGTCTGAGAGTTTGGTTGTTTCAGATGCCAAGGGTTTTAGCTATCATATAAATTAGTTGTTTAACCTTGGAAAAGTTACTTGAACTTCTAGGTTTTGTTTCCTTATTTATAAAAGAAATATCGATATATCAGGCCACTTTTATTTCTAAAATAATTTAGAATGTTTATTAAAATATAAAGATACTAAGGAGTCATTAGGAAAATGCTTTGGACATTATAATCATGGGAGATGGTCTAATTAAGTCAGTCAGTATAAGGCACATTGGTAATTTAGAAATTAGACATTTTCTAAGTTTGAAATTTTTCTTTTTAAGATGATGGAGCCTCATATTCATTTCCATCCATCTCAGGCCTCCTTGCCCCAGTGACAAGCCCACTTATAGCATGGTCTAAAGTATGGACAAATGTTTCTGTGAAATGTTTCTTGAAATTTTGTCAGTGAAGTTGAGTGTGGGGTGTTTCATTGAGTAAATACTTAATTCACTGACCAAGAGAGCCTGCTCTTTTGGAGCACATGTTGCACATGGGGTGATTAGCAATGAGCAAACAACATAAAAGCACAAACTCTAAGGTTTACTTGAAGGTGAATAGTGCTGTAGAAATAAAACAGAGCTCTGGTGACTCTGACATTAAAAGATCTGGGAAGAGAAAAGGGAACAGCAGAGGGGATTGAGAAGGAGCTGTCAGTTGATTAGTAAAACCACCTAAGAGCATGGAGTTCTAGAAGCCAAGTGAAGGGAGGGTTTCCAGGAGGAAACTAATACCATGGATCCAGTCAGTTAGGGTGAGATTAAGATTTGACCATTTGTTAGAAAAGTTTCTCGTAACATCCTTCTTAGTGTAACTTGGTGCAGGGTTATATTATCTCTGTGAATATCTATATGTGCACATACATTATGGGCATATGAAATACTGACACCTAGTACTGAGCATTTACTATGTGGCAAGCACTCTTCTAAGTGCATTTTCACGTCTTCATTTAATCCTTACAATATCTCTGTGAGGTAAGTTTTATTATCACCCTCATTTTCTCAGGAAATGGGACAGAGAAGTACCATGAGTGAGATAAATTGTGAAATTAGATTTAATCTAGGCAGTTGGGCCTCTTATTCTCCATATTAACCTTTAGACTCTACTACCTTTTTGCATAGTCTAGCCTGCTAGCTGGTAGCTGTGTAGCTACATATAGCTATGACTCTGAAGAGTTAGGTCTACTAAAATCTAAAGGAGGCAAAAACAATGAATAAATTTAGCTATTCCAGCCAAAATAAAGTACAGTTATATTTTAGAGGGAATATATGTTATTTGCGCATGTAGAATTGCTATGCTTGGGCAGCAGCTCCCACTGATGCAGGTAGTCTTGGTGGATCAGTCACAGTGTTCCTTCCTTCTCTTTCATAGCTGTGGGCATGTGATGCGGCTAGCTTGGTTCATCAGTAGGTATGTGGAAGATGAGTCCTGCCAGTAAGTTTTATGGATCCTCCAGGGATAAAGGGCCTCTTGCTTTGCACATAGCAAGTTTTAAGGATGGTTTTATGGTTATCAGCTGCCATGTTTTTGGCTGTGCCAAAAGAGATTTCTTGAGACTAGAGAACATGAGAGGGAAAAAGAGAAGTGAAGCATTTGAGACTGTGGATCCAGCCATACCTTCCTGTAGACAGTTGTTAGATGAACCAATAAGTTCCCTTTTCTGTTTTAAACTAGATTTCCAACACTGATATTTTGATTCTTCCTATATCCTCAACTCCTTGTGTCATTAAGCCATTTGTAATGATTTCAACATGTCACATCTTGTCCCTTTCTGCTGTTGTTACTCCCTCACTTACACCCTTACACTATCCTGGCAGGATGGCTACAATGGCCTGCTAACTCTTCTCCTGATCCTCAGTTGTGGCTGATTTGTCATGTTGACTTTAATTTGCAGTATGACTACATGTCATATTGTAGAGTGATACCAGATTAATATTCTAAAATATAGTTTTCTTCAAGTTACTCTGCTTTCAGTTTTCTGTTATTTGTAAGACAGAAGTCAGACTCCTTAGCCTGCCATCCTGACTGTTTATAATTTGATCCCACATTTCTTTAGCAGTATTGGCCCTGCTTATGCATTTATTAATTCAAACATTTATGCATAGACCCTAAGGTTAAACTCACAGACAAAACTGAAACAGTTTATACTCTCATGGAAATTATAGTTTAGGGGAAGTCTGGATATTAAATGAACAATTATAGATCTGATGAGAATTTTGAAAGGAAAAGCAGCATATATGAGAACATCCATTGCAAAGCAACTCTGGAAGACCTCTCCGAAGAGGTGATATCTATTCTGCAAAAGTGCAATTTGTGCTGGGTGTGGTGGCACACACTGGTAATCCAGTGGCTCAGGAGGCTCAGGCAGGAGGATTGCAAGTTCAAAGCCAGCTTCAGCAATTTAGTGAGACTGTGTCTCAAAACAGCTGGGGATGTGGCTCAGTGGTTAAACGTCCCTGGTACCAAAAAAAAAAAAAAAAATCAGTTTGTACATTTATTTATTAATATTCATGTTGTGTTCGTAAGCTAGCATTGTTGGCCAGCACAACTGTAGAACTTGAAAGGGTATTTTAAACTGTGACTAGAAAGCAAAGTATTGTGCACCCACCAGAGGGTTGATGTTTTGGATCACTTTGTAAATATTAGTTTTCTTTTAGGGTAGATTCAGATTCAGTAGGTCTGGAGTAGGGCTCAGACAGCTGCATTTTAAACAGATTTCCCTCCTGTGATACACACCCAAATTATAAACCTGTTGTTTTAGGGCATACACAGGTCATTTGTATGTATAATAGAAACTTGGAAACACGCAGTGTCACAGCATTTTAATACTTATATAGATAATAGTTTATGGCATTTTAGATAGACCACTTAATTATCCTAAATATCAAAGCTTGAAAATGTAACTTGTTATCTGTTTTATCTTCTACAGTATTTTTTCTTAGTTACTTTTTGTTTTATATTGATTATTTGGCAAATTTTGCTAAGATCCATTTTCAAACGAAATAAGTGGAATATATTTTTCCTGATAAGAACATTTTACAGTTTTAATCATTTTTAAAAT